TATTTCCCCTTAACGTCGTTTTTTTAATTGTCCTCTAATTCCTCCATTGTCTAAGTTCCCCTTAAAATGGATATGAAACCATTTTCTAAAATCCAATGAATGAAGGTTTTGGAATCCTTGGGTAGTCAATAAACCAGTCACAAAATACTAACCTTCAACAATTTGTTGAATTTGAGAAATTAATAAAAACATTTGTAAAGTAATTTCTCCGAAAAATGGCCGCTATGTCGATACGCCATCTTTGTTTTCATGCGCATTCTAAACCCACTGCGATCGTTCAGATAATTTGAAACAACCGCGTTATATTCCCGACTGTAAGTGATTTGTGATTGGTCAATCAAATTGCACTTTGACACGATAATCGCCAACGACAAGTTAGTAAACAAACAAGATGCCGAACGGTTGTTGTGTATTGGGCTTCAATAGAACGCAAATAAGTCACCCAAAAGTATCGTTTTTCCTCTTTCCCAAGAAAGATAAAAATATAAAAACTTTTAATAACTTTTAAGAAGATGTTGAGGAAATGCCATCTCAGACCAAAAAAGAAAAACAACGAAATCTATATACCGACGAAAACGGGAGGTTGAAAGTGTAAGTACAGGTAAGTAAAGTAGCTAGGCTAGGCCTAGGTAGCATATTAGCTAGGCATGGCCTAGCCTAGTCTAGTTTGGGTGGGGGTGGTGGCTAGCCCTCGGTGGCCCTACCCTACGTAGGCCTAGCAATTTTGCGCCAAAGATTGCTATGAAGATGATGCACAAAATCGTACCTTACTAATCTAGGCCTATACTATTTCTTAGGCCTAGCAGCAGCAGTTCTGGGGTCTACTATCTACACTATTAGGCCTAAATCTTATGCATTCGCCGTAAATGCTAATCACATGTTTCAGCTAGTATTTGCTTTGGAACCTACCAAGCACCCTCTTTTACTCCTGGGTGGAGGCAATGATAACGCCTTGCCAAATGACTATCTAGTGTAGAATAATTGTTATACGTACAGTATTTTCGTACTGTATAACATTGTAAATGCTTTTTTGAAATAGTCATTTTCTTGGATTTTCCTGAACACCAACATCTGAAACCTTGCAGTGATGGGCTTGTTTGTCATTTGCAAGATGTAACCACGTAAACGGACATGCAAATAGATACAGAGTTCTCCAACCATAGACACTAGAAAAAATATGTTGAAATACAAACTACACTAGTGAAGTTATTGAACAGCTCTTACAAGTTACTGTAACTTCGATTTTTTAATTTTATCTCAGAACCTACATAGCAGCTTTGCAAACCAGGGAGGAGATCTTGAGAACTCTTTGTGGTTCTCTCTTGCCAAAAAAGACTGGGCAGCTGAAAAAAATCTTGTCAAGTCTACATTCGGTAAGATAACTTTTCAAAAAAAATAATTTGTGCTTTACCCATTTATATTTTATACTTGTTGAAGTATTTCAATGCATTTATAAGCTTAATTTCCACCATTTAAGTTAATACAGTATATATCAGCATTTGGGTCAGGCATTTCATGTGTTATAATATGTGAATGTTGTCTATCTTTGCAGAATACACTGCGAACATAATTGAAATGGCTCTGTACATGGCAAAAAGTAATATGAAAGAGTTTTTTACACTGCTGAAATAATGTGCGATCCGGGAACAATTGCTGGGAAATTGCCGAAACCAGACAAAAATCAGTTCGTGTCCAGTTTACTCAGCCGATTCAACAGAAATTAAATACTGTATAGCCATAATACAGTAACATGACCATGTAACACTTTTTTTTTATAAGAGCCATTCAAATTACGCCCAGGCTCACTGTTATTATTTTTTGCTGATTCCAGCATTGCTCTATTTCCATTTACAGAAAATTGTTATTGTACAGCAGTATATTACTGTGCTATAAACGTTATAAGATCGTTATCGTTGAAGTATAAACAGGCCTTTATCCTCAACCTGGGCTTCAATATTTGGAAAAGCTTTTGGTTTGTACCTAATTGTACTTTAAACATTTCTTATGAGGTAGTTCTTGTTATCTTGCATAGTAAAATACCTACTACA